GGAAAGAGCTGTGACCCAACATCAGTCAGCTCTGTTGCTTTCTTTTGGAACTATTTGTCACATCTGCAAGTGAACACACAGATCTTTGGCTAGCCTCATACATCTGTGGACTACACAATGACTTCCCTATTTTACTGGAAGACTAATCCTCATATTGAGGGACTGCTGCCACTGTTAGTAACTCATAATAAATGTAATGTCTGCTAGGGGCTTGGGTCACAGCAATTGATAGCTGACTGTACAGCCCTTTCTCTCCAGAAACTTTGTTGCAACAGCGGCTTAGTAAAATCGTTCACAAGTGGTTTCCTCAAAACAAGGTAGCTTTTAACTGCCAAACAAAACAGTTCCTTTGCTAAGCACGTACTCTCTGCATTATTCACTGGAGCAGGGACTTGAATCTGACTCTCCTGTTTCTTAGTTGAAGGCCCAAACCCAAGGGCTATGATAGTCATTTTCTCGATATATAAGTTATCTAGGTAGAATAGAACACCTTCAACAGTAGTGAGTGAGAGACACCAGAATATCTTAAAGCCTAGTTGCTAGCCACAATCTCTGAACAGGTAGAAGACCTGTTTTCAAATCCTTGTTTCAAATCAGAGGAGGGCTGGTCTAAAATCCCAAAGCAAGTCTATTGGATAAAAGGGAAAAAATGAGTGTCATCATCTTTGTTTCCAGCTGCTGTCTTGGGGATCTAGCCTGAACGGGGATTTAAGTGCCTGAATATGTTATGAGGTGATATGCCATATGCTTATATGTTAAGTCTGAATAGGTTAAGCATTTGGCTCGTATTCTAATGCAGAGATACTGTTGTAGCCCATCTGTATTTTTAGGTACCTGAATAACTTAATAAGTCTGATACCCAGTAATTTGATCAAGGGAAAGCCTATGGTAGAACTGGAAATTAAGCCCAGGGTTCCCAATGTTAGCTGAATTACATGTGTGTTAGTATGCCTGGTACTAATAGAAGCCCAAAATAGCTTTACAACCTGATCCTTTATTGTTTGCATCCCCAAAGCACAAGATGTACACTTATCCCGGTGTGTTTCTGACTGTTCATGACAACATAATAAAGATTCTCACCTTTGCTGCCTGAAGGGGATTCATGAAGGAGGAGGATGGCACACATCGCAGCAGCAAGTCATCTTTCGTCCACTAAGTTCTCTGACTTTTCCCTTTAGTCTATGCCTTGTGTTTTTCAACAAACATTCTCCGATTGATAAGTTTACATTTTTTTGTTTTACTGAGACTCCTAAACTGGACTAGACTAGTTCTTTCATGGCCCTAGAAGGCAACACCTAACAGATTTATGTTGTTGGGAAAACTGATTTTTTGAGAGAGAAGATTTCTGATGTCCATTCTCCACCATATTGGACTGTCACAAACTTGATGTTTATTTTTTCCTCCTTCCCCATTTATTTTATGGTTTAGTTTTTTACAACTCCTCTGAGAAACAAAAACACACACAGCACAATTCAGTGTGCTATACAGGCGGTCCTCGGACTTACGACACAATTGGTTCCTGAAAACCGTCTCTTAAGTAGAAATGTAACTCGGAACCGATTTTCCCACACGAACAACGTTATAAATGGGGGATTGGTTCCTGAACCAAAGCCCGATACCCTATTTAAACCAAAAATAACCCAGAATTTTGTAGTCAGTCAATTATAGATGAATAATATAGCTACATTAATGTATTTATATTGTAAATAGCAATCATATTGATTTGGAAGGACTTCCTTGAGGTGACTTTGCTGAACTTTTTGAAGGGCTCTTGGCTGGAATCTTCTTAGGAGTCTTGGCTGCAGGTTTTTCTAGAGTCTTGTCTGCTTTCTTAAAGAAAATGTCCAAGGAGGTTTGAACAGATGTTCTCCAGGGAGAAGGGCAATGCAGCAAACTTGTTTGCTGGCATGGGGTTGCGTCGGATCAAGCGTCGTAGTCAAAACTGACATCATAAAGTTGAAGCAGGGTGTCAGTTTATAAACGGTGTAAGTGCCGTTCGTTGTAAATCGAAATGTCTTAAGTCGAGGACTGCCTGTATTTGCTTACATCAATCGCCACTAACATTTTAAAGCTAAAACTAATATAACTGTGTTTTGAGGCCTGGAAGCACCAAATCACAAGGTAGCCATCTCTCATATTTTATACTGAAGTGTAGGAGAAACTACCTTTCCTTGACCATGATGTGATCTCACTGCGACTGCCTCTTGCATCTGAAAACAAAGTCTCCCACTATGTCCCAATAGAACCAAACTATCCCAGTCTCCATTTTCTAGTGTTAGAGGGCTCACTGTAAACCTTGTTTCTCAGCATACCTTGGCGAAGGATAGAAGGGAACTGTGCCAGAAGCAGTTACTGATTTTTTTTTACAGGCCATCACAACAGTAGCAAGAGCTGAGATTGCAGTGTCTGCTTTTAGTCCCATTTCCTTTTAAAAACTAGTATTTCCTTCTGCAAGCCCCATAATAAAGTGTACTGAGGAATTAAAGAACTTTGAACCTTTTGAAATTGTTTTGAACAGAACATGTCCTTTTAGATAACTAATGAAGGTTGATATTTTGACAAACGAAAGCAAATAAATGCGTTGCATGTTTTTTGCAGATATGACAAAAGGGAAGATGTTAAACCAGGGGACCAGCTGATGTTCTCTTATACACACATACTGATGGAAATGGACCCTATTCAAATATCACATTACAAGACTACCCACAGGCCACTGGTGAACATATCTGGCATTGGTAAAATCGTGTTGAACCTTACAGCACTACCTCCTTTTACTTTAAATTTAAAACCAAAATTAACACTGTTGGAAAAACTCCATTTCTCTTCTTGATTGGAGATTTTTAAATGTCTTTTGACTTAACTGTTGATGACTGAGTAACTTCCAAGACAACCTTGTTTTGCCATTCTAGCAATACTGTTCAGCAGCTGTGGGGAAAAAAAGAAAACAATCTTTGTACTGGTTAGTATTTGCCTCCATTCTTTATTTCTTATATAAATATTGCAGTGTTCCAACGCTGTATGTAAATCCCGTCCAAACCATTGCTGAGCTATGTTGTACCTAGCATCTTCTTTGCAGCACATGTAACAAGCTCAGCACTGTTAAATACGTTCTGCACGTTTGGTTTGGATAGTTGCTTGTTTCACTTTGAAATGTGTATATGTTCTAAGTGAATTGTATGAAATAGGTACGTGCTACTGAGGTATTTTTTATATGCAAGTCCTCTGTGGTGGTTGGGGATTTTCTGTATAAAGAGTGATTTCTTCCTTCCAAAGGATTAAGTTGAAATGAGAAGCTTTAATAATATAATTTTGTACTGCAGCAAAGCCATATTCATTGTAGCTTAATCACTATCCATAATTGTGCCCTACAGGCTGGTGAACTAATTAAAGTTAAAAAATCCATTTGAAGAGCAGTTGCACCTTTTGGCAAGCACCATCTCTTATCTGAGTTGAGTGTCACAGGATGGTTCATCATCATATCTTCACTGTAGAAATAAATAAAAAGGGTAACTTGGCTTTTGGAGGAAAACATTAGGCATTCAATTTTTTTTTTTAGTAGCCTCTTATTTTCCAGTACAAGGAAACAGTCTTGACCTGTAATATACACATTTAGCTGTAAAATATTCCTTTTAATAAGCTTAAGAGAACATCTTCTCATTGTGAAGAAATCAAAAAGGAATTAAGTTGTCTGGGAAGACTGTGAAAGGTGATGTTGCAGATAGTATTTCAGAGACAAATGGACTGTATTCTACAGAAATGGTTATTTGTCCTTACGCCTAGAGGTTATGCGTTGACTGATTCACTTTGCTTTCCTGACTGAGATATTTTGTTGTGTAAGCTCTTGATCAAAATCAACACTGAGTACTCATTCTCCTTAATTAAAAGAGTTTACTGAAGTAAACAACTTAAGCTATGTGTTAGTTGAAACTGTGAAGTCTTGTTTTCTTAAAAGACTAGTTTTACTATGGTAAGGAGCCCTGCAGTGAAAAGTCAGTGTTACCAGTAAGCACAAAAACTTAATGGCATTCCAGTCATGAAGTCTGATAACTGGATAGTAGTCTTCCTTATTTTCTAAAAACTTCAAAAGGTAAAAATAAATACATTTTGTTGAATAAAAAGCAGTGTTTTGTACAGGAGCCTACCTACGCATGCATATAAAAATGGCAAAGTTCCATTTTTAAGATTCTGCTTTCAAGTTTTCTTCTGTGCTTCATAGTGTATTTGAGGAACTAATAATACGGGATGGAACCTGCCCCAGTCTGCCTGGGTGGTTGTGCAGGAATCCCCACAATGAGTTTTGGAAAGGCTGACCTGCAAAACTTGTTAGTTCAGTATTTGGCTTTTCAAAATTGCCATTGGTAAGGCACCATCTATTTGATTTCTCTTTCAAAGAATACTAACTTCCTCCAGAGTGATTTTGAGCATTAAATAATTCTAGTAGGAAAGGATATGCAAATACAAGTTTTCAAGATGCAAAGGCAATTTTTTTTGACCAAGGATAAATCCACTAAAGGATTTAAGCACCTTTCCCCAGGGTAGAATCCAAGGGCCTGAATGAAGTGCTCCCTGTATTTTAGGGAGAGTTGACTCAGAACAACCCAAAAATGTGGTATATTAAGGAATTTGCCTAGAACTAGCCCCTAGGGAAAACTGAGTGTCTGAAATCCCACTCCTCTGGAGTTTAGGGACTTCAGTATACTCAGGAGCCAGAGCCTGGAATTTTTTCCTAATGACAGGGAAGTTTTTTTATTCCATTTGAAAGAACTGAGCAGAGCTCACTTAATACTTTTTAAATGGGGTTGAAGATGTTTTTGACCCATGGAATGGTGTAACACAGTGAGTCTCAATCTTTTTTACTCAAGACACCCCTCAAAAAATGCTAGCTCTTACAGCAGTTGCCCAGCATTCCCTATTCTCTACTCAGCTTAGAAGGGTGCACTGACCAGCAGACTAAAGGCTGGTTTAGGTGCACACTCTTGAAGCTGGGCGACTGGGCAGAAAGGAATGCAAGAGAATATGAGGCAGAGCTAAAATAATTTTTGTTTCAATATGATTGACTTTTTGTGAAACTTTAATTCTTCGTACCTTTCTCATTAACCGTGATCTTTCGGAAAGATGACATCTAGGCAAATCATATTTGCTACAGTTTTAACATAATTATAAAGTTGTGTGGTTTTTTTAAATGTGGCTTGGTTTGGTTTGTTTAAAACAATGCCGTCTGTTCTTCTTTGGAGAGAACATCTGTGCTGCAAAGCCTGTAGGTCTGTGCAAGAGAAGACTTGCAGTTTTCTAATTTTGAGGAATTTTTCCTATTTGACTTAATTTTTGAAGCACAAAGATTTTTTTTTTATTGCCACCCCCATCCTCAGCTTGCTTCTCTTCAAAAATACTTTCCCCCTGAAGTTTTGAATGCTGATTCTCTTTGCACCAGTAGGTTTATTCTTTTAAGTGCAGTGAGAAAACCATACCACAAACCAAGAATATTAAAATAAGCAAAACTATCTGACTACAGCTGCTTCTGGTAGCTGGTCACACTATTAGTCACAGCTTCATATTTAATGTAGTTTACATAGGGAACACAGAGATCTTTCATAAGAATCGCAAAGAACACAGGAAATGTAAGAAGCGTGTAATATTTGTTTGCCCTAATAAGATACAGATACATGCTTGGTCTTTCTGATATACATTTCTAATATCTGACTCGCTTTAAGTTCATTAATGTAAACAATTATAATGTAATTATATTAACTGTGTATTTCAGATCTTTAACACGGGCAGAGTTGGGTCCCACGTGAAGTTCAAGGTCTTTGTCAAAATACATTCATTCTTCATAGTGACAATTGGGAACTAGCTGGTTTGCCTCAAGTTTTTGTAAGGTCAGAGTCCTGGGGTGTATTTCTGCCTGGTTGTGTATGGACATACTGCTCATTTGGGCCAAGAACCTGATGGAGGGAAGTGCCATATTTTCTTGCATACCATACACCCCCAGATAAGATATGCATTTTAAGAAAACAACGTAGAAAATATTTTTCCAGTCATGCTTAAGAGGTGACTGTATGCAGGAGCTCACTCACAGTCAGTCAGATCATTGGCCGAGTAGCCAAAAGCCGCTGCTAATTGATAAGCAGTTGTGAGAGGGTTAACACTGGACTCTTCCACTTTTGTTTGCTGGCCCAGAGCAAAGTAGCAGCTATTATAGCACAGCATCTCCAGTGAAGAACTGTTAGCTTCCCTATTTAAGACATGCACCTCAGCTTTGGAGGGCTAACTTTTAGAGATACATGAAGTACGCAGGTAAATACTGTATGCTAAACCAGGAACTGTTTTGTGAGAGAACAGGCAGAATTCCAGTAATTAGCAAGAGAACTTTCAGTTATGTACACGCAGTCAACTGATCTGGGAGAATGCTCCCAGGTTTGTTCTCCCAGTAGGAAAACTTCTACAGGGTGCCCTGGGACAGACATTTGAGCAGTAAGCCTGCAGTGATGACACAGGCTGCCAGGGGACCCTAAAACAAGTACAGTAGTCAGGGCAGGAAGTGTGAAGTCTGTCCAGCAAGGGACATGCAGGAGAGGGGGCTGCTAGGTCAATGACAAGGATGAGGTGTTAGCTGGGTCAGTAACAGGATGTGGTGGTCGGCTGACTGAAAAAGCTGGTAATAGAACACATCCCCTTGTCTTGGGCTGGGTACCTGGACAGATGTTTGGTCTTATGAGGCATATTCTCCTGGGAGCCATTGCACTCAGTTTGCTCCCAATTTATTTTTCTCCCAGAACGACCATTTTTGCTCTGGGAGAAAAAAACATTAAAAATAATTTATACATTTGTGCCTTCTCCTGGCAGAGCAGCAAATCTCCCAGTGGAAACTGAACATGTGTATATTGCCATTGAATGACCCATTGCAGAAATATGAAGCATCCCAGTGATTGTGTCTTTAACTGCAAGGCATGCATTTCCTCTGTCAAAATGTTTATGGATTCCAGATTCCAGATGTACATGTGCTCATGCAAGGTATATTTCAGTGCATAAAGCACAGCTCAAATTTTGCCTTCAATTTCCATTCACTTCACTAAGCATCACCACACATGTAACATGTAACATGACAAAATGTAGTGTTAGTTACTATATTTCCATATAGAACATGGCCTAACTACTTAGAACTAAATTCTGCACATTTTATTAATTTATTATAAAAAGAAATTGTACTATATTAGGTACTCAGGTAGATTTTATGAACAGGATATTTTTTCTTCAAGGTAGTCACTTTTTTCTGCTTTAATCTACAGAAGTATCTTCTTGCTCTACAGTGTATATATACCCCAGCTGCTTGTTCCTGACCACTCTTGTGGCAGAGTCATGTGATCAAAGTTCTTTAAAGAGTTATCATCATCAGAAATATCATTAACTACACCTCAAAGCATGTGTGTGCTCTTAAAGAAAACTCCACAGACTGTATCTATTTCTTTGGGTAGCTAAGTTGCTGTTGGAAAAAAAGGGTTTTTGTTTTGTAACACCGCACTGGAACTAAGTTCTCTCTGCCAGCATGAAGCCCAACATGCTGCTACGGGGCCCAATTCTGCATAGAGCCCTCTTGGCAAAAACTCCTACTGACCTCAGGGGCTTTTGCCTTTTTGGGGGCCAAGAAATCAGGAAAATATTGCAAGTTGAAACTAGAAGTTTTTAATTTCTTTTGAATTTGGAAAAAAGAAAAGGTTGACATGTTATCTCATTTTAAAGGACACATGTAGGAAACTGTTCATAGCAAGTTGGCATTAAAATTTAAAATTATACAATAAATTGCTTACCTTGATATATCGCCAAAAGCTTTCCAGCAGGCCTTTTGTCAGAAAATCTGTCTGAAATTGAGAAGTGCAAGCTTCTACCACTCTTATTGAAGTAGCAAGTCTTATTTTGGATTTTTTTTTTTTTTTTTTTTTTTTTAACTATTTTTATAAAAATTTTTAACTATTTTTATTTTACTGTATTGTTCTGGTTGTATACAGTTCTGACTGGTATAAAAGTCAGCCCCATATTTCCAGGTTCTATTTTCAGTGAAACCAACTCCTCCTTCCCATAAGTTGATAAACACGGATAGTCTTTGAATTGCTCTTGCCCATTCAAAATCCACAGGAGACTCGACCCAAGGACTCAAAAGGTTACATGCACTAAGAATACTAAAATAAAAAGTAAACTGAAAAACTAAATTCTAAATTTCATTTGGTACTTATATTGCATGCACAAATACTGCAAGCGAGTTAAACTTATTTGGAGGGTTGAATACAGGAGGATTCCACATACAAGTAAGATGTGAATATTGTGATTTGTGGTTCTTTTGGAGGAGAAAAGTTGGCATATAATTATGGAAGTGAATCCAGGCAAGTGACAAAGGGAAGTGGGAGCAGTAACCAGTGCTGCAGGGGTAGCTGCACCCTCTGCTCTCAACCCCCAGCGGACCAACAGGAAGGCAAGAAGAGTTGGGCACGTCTTGCCAACTCTCCAAAGTCTCCAAAACAGGTAAGAATCCCTTTTCCCTTCTCGTCCTTGCTCAGAGGCATGTCCCTACCCCCACCTGCCACTGTTGCTCCAGTCAGACTGTGCAGGGGCTGGGCTTTGCCTGAGGCAGTGGCAGGTAGGCAGTATCCCCCTCCCCATACCTGCTCCTGGGCTGGTGGGGAACACCCAACAGGACCAGGTGGGGAGTGGGAACCTGCCTGTGGCCACCGCTGTCCTGGACTAACACCTTCACAGCCCAGCTGGAGTGGGAGAAGTAGTCCCCTTGTTGCAGCAGTGGTCTGGGGTGGTCGGGGGGGTGTTAATGCCTTCTGTGTGGGTATAGTTGGAAGGAATAGGCAGGGAAGGAGAGGCCATCCCCTCCAGTCTGCACAGCCACAGGAGCACAGAAACTGCTACCTCTATTTCCAGGGCACAGTGAGGAGTGCAGCAATAGGTGCACACTTCTGGGGTACTGGAAACTTCCAAGAGGCTTTCAGCTTCCCAGCACTCATCTTGTGGGGTGCTGCTTGACAGTGCGTCTAGCACACAGCTATATCCAATCTGCACAGCTTAGCCCTAAGTGAATAATAAATTCCTTGTTTTAAAAATTCCTTTGTTCTCAAACTATGTCTCTTACCACAAAGAAGTTCAGAGATCTGTAACATCTTACTACAAAGGTCAAGGTTGTTGTTATGTTCAGTAGATATGGTGGAAAACTAAGGTAATAATTAACTAGCAACCATGTAAAACAAGCTTCCCAATAACTAGTTCAGTTTGAAATGTGTTATTTATTGCTTTAGGATTAAAAGTACATTTGTACTCTGCATTTAACCACAGAAGTCCAGATTTTATGCCATACTTCCCTCTCAAGATTACCTTGAAAATTTAAGGGGAAAAGATTACCAACACCACACACTAGTATCAGCAAATTCACTCTATAAATGCAGTTTAAAATAGCTTTAGTTGCCACTTTATTTGCAAAATGCTTTGCTGAGTGTTAAATAAAGTTCAGCAAACTTTATTTAAAATAATCAAATGATCTCAGTGAAATCAATTGGAACACTTGGATTAAGTATTTATTCAACCCGAGGAACTGCACAATCTTGCCCTCGAAGACCAGAGCTACACGTACCATCTAATCTTTCCTTTATATAGCATTTTGCATTGAATTTATGGTTCTATGTATTTTGGTTGTATCTGTTTTCACTTAACGACTTTTTTCTAGGCTTATCCAAAAAGAAAGAGGCATATTCATTAGCACTAGAAAATTGCAAATAAAATGTTTAATTTCAGAAACGGAGTTCACCATTTATAAATACACTAAAACATAGTAAATGCAAAATTAGATTAGGCATAGGTACAGTATTTTAACAAAGCTACAAGTTTTTCTAAAAAGGTCATAGGCAAATGAATGACTTGTTTCCCAAAAGTATTTAATTAAAACTGAAATGAGAAGATGAAATTTTAGTATTAAAAAAAATGGACAATCTTCTTAAAAATTTAAAATGCTGGCTATTTTTGCCTTACTGTGTAGTTTAGAGGGCTCTACAACATCTCATTTGCCTGATGGACACTGTCAATTATGAATCATTCCTACTACATAAAATTCTAAGCAGTGCACCATATCCATAAGGCTATTTCTGCAAAATCAGATAATTCATGATTTTTGTACTAGGAATTTTAAGACGGGCTGTTCTACACAGCTATAATCACACTGGAACATGAGGCTCACTTTTTACACCAGCAAACCTTATAGTTTTGATGCACGAAAGATTAAAAAGGCTTTAGATTGACATTGGGGTTTTTTTTGCTGTTTCTTGCCTTTTTATACATTTCATTAAATAACAACCATTATTACACAAACTTTGAGAAAACTTCCAAAAAGAGCTTATATAAATACCCAGAATATTTCTGTAGTTCAGTTACAATGTAAAACCTGAACAGAACAGCAAATGGGAAGTTTTATTACAGATAACTGTCTAACTGACATTTCATAATACCTCTAAATTTAGCTTTATTTTCAGATACGAAGTCAACAGTCTCCTGTAATAGTAAACACATCTTCCATAATATTTCTTACCCCTTTTGCATTTTAGGGCTTGCAATTAAAAACTGCTAGGTAAAAAGATGGCTTGAACTCCACCTTTATGTACAGCTTTTTTTGACATCTACAAAAGCTGTTTTGTTGAAATTAAAGCAATGTTTAACTAAAATACAGTACCTGGTTTATGGTTTTTACATAATAATTGAATAAAAAACTACAGAATAGAACTGTTTACATCTTTTTTGCCATTCTATTAAAACAGGACTGAGCTTTTTTAAAGTTCATGTACAATTATGGATTAAAACCTACATAATTTTGTATAATTTGACAAGACTGACTATTTCTAGTGTGGACTTTTAAAAAAACATATATACAATATCTGGCCTGAAGAACTATGAATAAGGCACATGTAGACATATTGAAAGCTGAAAAAAGAAACTAAAATTTGGAATTACAGTCATTGATTAGATGTCATACATGGCCCCTACTGGAGCAGTTCAACAATCCAACTTACAGATAATTAATATCCAGTGAGCAACAATAGTTTTAGTCTGGCAGTTTGTTCAATAGTTTCAATACTGGAAGTATATTAAGGGAAGATTCACTTTCAAAAAGATAAGTTTTTCAAAGTGTTCAATCATTAGCCTCGACTGACTAAAGCTGTTGTTTTCATTGGATGTATTGAACAATCTCTCTGAAGGAACAATGCTGGGTGGACAACCCAAGAATCTAACAGCCAATTTTGACAGCACCGGCCAAGATGACCTCTTAAAGTTCCAGTAAGTTAGTGGATCACAGTTATGCTCAAGCACTTCTTCCTCCAAGTATGAAAGCACCATTTCCTCTGGTAACTTTACTTTTTCTCTTAGATCTTTTGCTTTTTTCATGTCACCCATTAGTGACCAAAGACTATCTTCCCCATAGGAATTTGTAGATGGTGAACCTATATCACATCCATTGGAAACAGGTTTCTCATCTTCTGAGGTAGAACTCATTATTTCCAGCTCCCTGATTAAGTCCTGTTTATATTGTTCAGCCTCCTCTTCTGTGAATAAGGATGCTTTATAACGTGGATCCAAAAGCGTAGCAAAAATGTACCTTGGATCATGAAGCGTGGAGGACAATCTACTCACCATAGCTTCTTTCAAGGATTTTAACATGGTATCTATACCCATTGTTTCCTCAAACAACATTTCTATTTTCCTGTTAAGTATATGAATCATTGGAATCACTTGACTTAAAGTAGACATGTGTGTGCTCATCTCTCTACTTGCAGCTTCAAAAGGTTTCAGAGCGTGACACACAGACTGCATGACTTCCCACTGATCACAACTTATTAGCTCCCTAAAGCTGCACTCTATTGACATTTCATCAATTGCTCTTTTCTGTTCAATTAGGCGTTCAAGCATATGGAATGATGTATTCCACTTGGATGGAACATCTTGAATCAGTTGGTGTTGGGGCAACTCATATTCTTTTTGTAACTCTGCTAATTTCTCTTTTGCTTTTGCTGACCGATGAACACGCTCACAGATCTTTCTTGCAATACTAAGCAAGTTTTGAACCATTCTCTGACTTTTAATAGCTTCATTCACTATGAGATTAATAGTGTGACCAAAACACTGTACACTCGAATGATCACCTTCATTTAAAGTTTTTTCTATACTCTGATTATCAGTAACAGTAATCCCGATCTGAAGGCCAATGGAAGTAATCCAGGTTTCCCACCAATATTCTAGTTGCTTTTGAATACTGATGCCATTGTAGTCACAATCAATCTGTGCAACATTTAAAAGTGCTGAACAGTGGTAATCTTCACACTGTGGTCGAAACGAGGACTCGAATGTTACCCAATGAGCTGTAAGGGTCAGATATTCTCTTGTTTGGTTGCTCATCCATATTCCAGATGTAAAATGGATCACTCCACTTTCAGCTTCTTTAAGATGCGAAATAATTATTTGTTTTACATTCTCATACATGTCTGGAATCGCTGTCCTAGAAAAATAAGATGGTGAAGGTAAGGAATACTGAGGTTGCAAGTATTCAAGCAGCCTGTTAAAGCCAATGTTGTCTACAAAGGAATATGGCTGAAGGTCCAGTGCAATCATTTCAGCTACAAGACTTGTGATTTTTTTGGCAACTGGGTGAGAGTCACAAAACTTGTCATTGGTTTCATCAAAGGTTGAAGGTCCTAATAATTCTGTACTCAATGGCATGTGATTATCTGCAGGAGAGGGCAATACTGTCTCTGAGGCATCAGTTTTCAGCACATTGTTATGAAACCGCTGCAAATGTCTTAGAAGGCAACTTGTACCTAAATTTGTTGGCTTTTTCCCCCGACTAATTGTACGTCCACAGTGCATACATATTACTTTAGTTGAATCTGCAGAGCATATTGAAAAGTGATTCCACAGTTTTGAGGTCTTCTTGCTATTAACAGGAAATATAACTTGATTATCTGTTGTAACCATGGTGGGTAAGTCAGTCAACTTTGAGGATGAACATTCTGCAGAAGCCAAAGTAGCATAAGGAGAATTTGCCAAACTAAAATCTAGAAAACTCTTTTGGTTCCCAACCACCTCAGGGTGGCGTCTACATAGATGTCTCATCAGGCAGCTTGTGCCCACATCTCCTTTTTTCCCACGATTTACCATGCAATTGCAATGTTTACACACAGCTTTTAGACTGTCTGCAGGAGACACTGAAAAATGATGCCACACTTCTGATTTAAGCTTTTTCATCATCCTTTTATTCTGCTGAAACACAGCACTAGGTTCAAATATCAATGGACTTAACCCCTCGCAATGCTTCTCAAGAGAAGCTGCAAGGGAGGCTTCACCTATGTCATCAGAAGATGACAAAACTGATGAGTCTTCCATTAAAATATCTCCTGAAGGCAAATTAGAATGAATCTCTTCAGTCATTCTGTCTGGAGAGGAAGAAACCGAAGTTGATTCTTTAAGCAGTTTTCCAGGAGAGGATGACATCGAATTTAAATCACCATCTGAGGGCAGTAAAGAAGGCAACAAAGTTGGAGGAGCAGAATAGAGAGGCGGTATACTTGTGCCACCTCCATTTTCTTGCAAAACAATTGAACGGTGGGCTCTCCACATATGCCTTATTAAGCAACTGGTTCCAAGATCTTTTCCATTCTTTCCTCTGCTGAATTCATTCATGCAGTGGATACAAACTGCTTTAGAATTATCCAGAGGTGATAAGTAAAAATGTTTCCAGACAGCAGACCTTCTCCTGGAACCTGATGTATTTTTTGGAATCATAACAGTTTTTTCTGCTACATTCTCCACAATTTCATCATACTGGCTATTGGGTAGCTGTGGAGATGACCCAACCATGGTGGCTTCTTTGCTGCAGTTTTCAGAAACTGCTAGATCTGGTATTTCTTCAGCAGAAACTATAGAAACAGATTCCTCAATTATTCGATCTGGAGATGGTATCTTAGAAGCAATTTTCTTGACCAGTTTTAAAGGTGATAACACAGTACTCAATTCTCCAATGTCCGCAGACTGAGGTGGCAGTAACAAAGTAGGTGAAGAAAAGGAAGATATACCTGGCATATTTCCATTTTCTTGAATAAGTACAGTAGGATGGGCTCTCCTAACATGCCTCATAAGACAACTTGTACTAAGGTCCTTTTCATTTTTACCCCTGCTAAATTCTTTCATACAGTACATACATATTGCTTTAGTGCTGTCTCTAGGAGATATAAAAAAATGATTCCATGCAGGGGATTTTTTCCTGGAGCTTATGTTTCTGCCTGAAAGGAGGCTTTGCGTCACAGCCTCCATTGCTACATCATACAGAGTGTTACTGTACTGAGAAAAGAGAGATCCATAATCATCTTCATTTTCTGTAGATAAATATTTGCTGGGATTGTGGGTAATGAAATTTTTTTCTTTGTCCTCTTGCTCATCGCTGCTGTCAGTATGTTTGAAATCTTCCTGTTCTGTTTTTATATCAAATCTTTCCAAAGTACAATTAATAACATCATCTTCTTGCTCTACCTTTAAATTGTTGATTTTATCCAATACAAAATTACTGTCCATTCTAGGGGAATTTGCCTTATTTTCCATGGTAAATTTCTTTTTGTTGAGTCTTCATGAATAAATAAATTTAAAAA